CTATTCCCTGTGTTCGACCCTGGTACTACAGTTGATCCGTTTTTGGCGCCGTTGCCGGGGAATAGTTTAGCGCTAGGATAGAGATTCCTTTGAATCTAGATCCTCTCTCGTTACTTTTATCCCGTTCCTGATCTATTCTAATTCGTTGTCCTATTTTTCTGGTGTGTAGGTTTCCCGGTGTATGACCAGGAGTTCTGGGTCTAACAACCTAGTCCCTTTAGATCCAGAAATCGAGAAATCCGCCAAACGCATTCGGAAGAAGAAGAAACAACAGAAGAAGATGGAGGAACGTGCTTTAGCTGTCGAGAATGACAATGACACTTATGGGGCATATCTTCAGCCCAAATACACTCAACAACTCTCATGCATTCGCCGGCCCGATATCGATTGCAATAAATTTGAATTCCAGCCGGCATTCATCAGTATGCTCAGCTCATCGGCATTTAGGGGTAGACCTAATGAAGATCCAATCCCCCATCTGACTCGATTCAAACTGCTATACCAGTCTGTGAAGACGGTTCAAGGAGTCACCGCTGAGTCACTCATGCTAATGGCTTTTCCATTCTCCCTAATGGACGCTGCATTAGAATGGCTCTACACATTGCCACCAGATTCCATCATCTCTTGGGATCCGATGCAAGAGAAGTTCATGCAGCGATTCTTCCCTGCCAGCAAAACCCAGCTCGCGAAGCAACAAATCAACTCTTTTATGCAGGAACCTGATGAATCTTTGTGCGAGACTTGGGATCGTTTTCTTGGATATCAGCGCCTCTGCCCTCATCACGGTTTGGACAAGAGGTACCTTATCTCCACTTTCTTACAGGGTCTAAAGGAAGATACTCGAGTCCTCATTCGAGTTGCCTGTGGAGGAAGCCTCAATGAGAAGTCTTTTGACTTCATCGAACAACAAATCACTAAGATGGCTAACGAGTGCGCTCCTTCCCACGAATTCGTCAGAAATATTGGCTTTAAAGACAACCGTACAGGTAAGGAAAGTCCATCTGAGATACATGCTATACGTGCAGAGCTTGCCAAACTTAGAATGCAGGTAGAAAACGCCCATCAAATCACTGATCTAGACGCACCACGAGACGAGTACGTGCACGAGGATGTCAGCTACGTCGCCAACAATCCGTACTCGAACACGTACAACCCAGGTTGGAGGAATCACCCAAACTTCTCATACAAGAACTCCTCCAACGCTCTAAATGCACAGCACAACAATTTCGGTGGTACATCTATCCCGGGCTCCTCCAAAGGAAATCAATCTCAACCCCGAAATGCCTA